TAACAGCGGATGAGGAAGAGGGGGCAGTGGATGTTGACAGGGCGGCTATGGAGGAAACAGAGAAAGTTCTGAATGTGTGCCTAATGGGGAAACTACTGGCGGGGAGGTCGATCTCTTGTGAGATTATCAGAAATACAATGAAGAAAGCGTGGAAAATTGAGAACGGTCTATCTGTGGAAAGCATGGGGAGGAATCTCTGCCTCTTTACCTTTCCAAGGGTAATTGATAGGAACCGTGTCTTCAAGACAGGACCTTGGAGTTTTGACAAGTATTTGCTTGTTCTTGAGAATCCAGATACTATGGTTAGACCAGATGAGATGGATTTTGACAAGGCTTCCTTTTGGGTTCACTTCTTTAATCTCCCCTTGGGATGTCGAAACAAGACGATGGCACAGAGGTTGGGGAATGTGATTGGTGTTTAGGAGGACGTTGATTGTAGTAGGGATAGCTTTTGCGCGGGTGAAAGTCTCAAGGTTAGGATAAGATATGATATCATGAAGTCTCTAAGGAGAGGGATCAAAATAAACATTGATGGATCCATGGGTGGCGTTTGGATCCCTTTGGAGTATGAGCGACTGCCGGAATTCTGTTCCTTTTGTGGAAAAATTGGGCACAACGCCAAAGATTGTGAATCCTTTTTTGCAAAGGATGACAATCTGGTTCAGGTGGGGTATGGAACGTTGCTGCGATTCGATGGGACGGTGAAGAAGAACCCGAAGATGTTGAGGAAGGGTTTTGGGGATCTGATGCCGGAGGAGACGGATGGCTATGATAGGAGGGGCGGCGAGGCTGATCGCCGTGTGAACCACCAAATGGAAAGTCCAGATTTTGCCCAAAAGATCGTGGATACGACGGAAGTTATGGAAGGCATTAATGGAAAAGGAATGGGAAATAATTGCTTTCCAAATCAATCTGATTAGGGAAATAGAATCCCTGAAATCACGGAAGATTTGTTGGAGGAAAACGAAATATCCAAAGAAAGCAAAGCTAGCATGGAAAAGGTGCAGATCTTGGACTTTAATATACTTGATGGGCCTCTTTTTAAGCCTATAGAGACAGTGGTACAAGCTGAGCCCATATAGGAAACCAACAATCCAAGGAAAATATTGTCCTGGAAAAGAAGAGCACATGGAAAACAAAATCTGGTGGACGGTGAGGAGGGGCCGTCAGTTTTGGAAGGATCAAGGAAGAGGAAAGGTGTGGAGGAAGTCAATGAAACGGTGAAGAAAGCTAAGCAAGAGATTGAACAGAATGGAGTTCGTGTGGGACTCTCAGAATTATCGGCGGAGGCTGTTGTACAGCCCTGCCGGGACCAATGAAAACATTATGTCAGGAATGTCCGGGGTTTAGGGAATTCCTGGTCATTCAGAGCTTGTCGTGACATTATTAGTCACTTTGACCCCCATATTTTATTTTTAAGTGAGACTAAATGTAATGTGACCGTTATGAATAAATTGAACGCCACTTTCAATTATTATGGGTGTTTTCCGGTGAGCAGTTCGGGTGCTAAAGGAGGTATTTGCCTCTTTTGGAAGGAGAATGTGCAAGTTAAAATTCGGTCTTTTTCTTTCGCTCACATCGATGCAATGGTGTCGTGGGAGGGAGTGACGTGGAGGTTTATAGGTATTTATGGTCAGCCTGTGTCTCAAGAGCGGCGTTTCACTTGGGATTTGATCAGGAGGTAAGATGATAGTAGTGGGATGGCCTGGGTGATTGGTGGGGATTTTAACGAGATCCTTTGGGACCATGAAAAGTAAGGTGGTGCAGCCCGAGATGGAAATCTAATGGAAAATTTCAGAAATACGCTGGAGGATTACAATCTTACAGACCTTGGGTATTTTGGAAGCCCTTACACTTGGTTTAGGTTGTGGAGTTCGGGATGCCACATTTTTGAAAGGCTTGATAGGTTTGTTGGCAATGAAGCCTTCATCGATCTGTTTAAAGAAGCTACAGTCCAGCACTTGGACTGGTACTGTTCTGATCATAGGCCTATAATTATTGATACTGTTCGGGAGCCTCAGACGGTTTCTAAATTAAAGAGGTCATATGGATGCAAATTTAATGAAAACTGGGCAGCTCACCCAGAATGCAAAGAAATTATCTCTGATAGTTGGAGTGCTAATATCCAGCAGAATGTTTCTCTTTCTAAGAGCTTGGCATTGTGTTCAAAGAGGCTGGGCAGATGGGTGAAAACTAACAACAGAAATCTGTTTAACCAAATTCGAAAGCACATTAGCTGATGCGTACAACGAGGATCCCCCTTTGAATTTGGAGGTAATCGACAATTTGAAGGAGAAGCTTAATAAACTTCTTGAGGAGGAAGAAACTTACTGGAGACAGAGGTCTCGGGAGTGTTGGCTAAGATGGGGTGATAGAAATACAACTTGGTTTCATAAAAGAGCCTCAGTAAGGAAGAAAAGGAACGAGATTAGCGGGATAAATAACAGAGATGGTGTTTGGATGTCTAACGCCACTGAGATGGAGCAAATATTCACAGATTACTTCCAGGAGATTTTCTCTTCGTCGAATCCTACTACGAAAAATTTGGACTGGATCCTTCAATGTGTTCCCCAAAAGGTCAGTCAAAGTATGAATTCTGTTTTATTAGCTCCTTACAATAGATCGGAAATTGTTACAGCTTTAAAGCAAATGCAACCGTCCAAAGCCCCGGGGCCTGATGAATTCTGTGGGGGACAGAACCATTGATGGGTGCCTTGACATTTTGAACCGGAAGAGCTCTATACAAGATTAGAACCATACGAATATTGCTCTACTTCCTAAAGTGCAGAGACCCAGAGAGGTTGCGGACTTCAGGCCTATAAGCCTTTGTAATGTTTCATACAAACTAATCACAAAGGTGCTGGCAAACAGACTCAGAGTTATTTTGGGGGATAATATTATGGTGGGTCCATGAGTGCCTTCATTATGTTCGTGGTATGAAGAATGGTAGGACATGGCTTGCGGCAATAAAGTTAGATATGAGTAAGGCTTATGATCGGGTTGAATGAGTTTATTTGGCGAATCTTATGCTCAAATTGGGTTTTGATGGCAGTTGGGTTTCGTTGGTTATATAGTGTATTTCGACAGCCTCCTTTTCTATCCTTATAAATGGAGAAGCCAAAGGTCGCATAACGCCAACAAGGGGGTTGAGACAAGGGGATCCATTATCCCCGTATTTGTTTTTGATTTGTGTTGAGGGGCTCTCTTCCCTTCTTCAGAACTCGCATGCCAAGGTGAGAATTTCAGGTGTCTCTATAAACAGCAACTGCCTGTCAATTTCCCACTTATTTTTTGCTGATGATAGTATGATCTTTTGTCGGGCAAATGCTATTGAATGTGGTTGGCTGAAATCGATCCTGAGGATCTATGAGGAGGCGTCAGGTCAGAGCATTAATTTCAACAAGTCTGCCATGTGTGTTTCCCCTAATGTGCGGGGGTGTGCAAGTCCTATCTACAGCAAATTCTTGGTGTTCAGGTGGTCAATGATCTAGGAATCTATTTGGGGCTTCCTTCCTATTTTTCTCGCAGGAAAAAGGATGCTTTTAGTGCAGTGAAGGAGCGAGTTTGGAAGGTAATTCAGGGGTGGAAAGGTCATATTTTCTCAGCTAGTGGGAAAGAAATTCTTATAAAAAGCATTGCTCAAGCAATCCCCGCGTATGCAATGAGTTGTTTTAGGCTTCCCAAAAGTTTTTGTAAAGATGTGGAACGGATGATTTCTAGATTCTGGTGGGGATCGACGATCGACAAAAATCGTTTACATTGGAAGAGTTGGGATAAGATGTGCCGACCAAAGGAGGCTGGTGGACTGAATTTTAGGGACCTCGAGAATTTAACCAAGTCCTGCTAGCCAAACAGGTTTGGAGGATTCTCAAAGGACCCCATCTCTTGGTCTCTGAACTTTTAAAGGGATGCTACTTCCCTGAGTCAGACATACTAACTCAAAGTCCTCACTCTTCTGCCTCATACCTTTGGAAGGGTCTCCAATGGGGGAGGGAGCTATTGCTAAAAGGTCTCCGTATTAGAGTTGGGAATGGGAGAGGAACCAGGTTTTTCATGGATAAATGGCTACCGAGGGAAACTTCTTTTAGACTAATTTCCCCTTGCATTAATGGGGCAGATTTGAAAGTCTCGGATTTTATAACTTCTTCCAAACAGTGGGATATCCAGAAGTTGAGACAGTATGTTATTGAGGAAGATCTGGAGGCTATTGGACGAATACTCCTAAGCTGGTCTGAGGCTGAGGACGCTTCGGTGTGCCACTATGATCGTAGAGGGGTGTATTCGGTGAAAAGTGGCTATAAACTGGGCATGAACTTGAAGGATCTTCCTTCCTCTTCGAGTAATCACATATATAGTGGGTGGTGGAAATGCGGTGGAAGCAAAATATTCCCCCCAAAATTAAAATGTTCATTTGGCGAGTGTTCACGATGTGTGTGCCTTCATGGAACTCCTAAGTTTGAGAGGCATCGGTGTGAATCCAATGTGTGTAACGTGGGAAAAATGCAGAATCTACGAACCATGCTTTATTTCAATGTAAACGTGCAAGGGAGGTTTGGAATTTGGTCTTACCTCAGGTGAGATTCATCATAGGCCACAGTCCCTCTGTCCAGGACAAGTTCCTCACGCTTCAAGAAGCTCTTTCTGCTAAAGATTTTGAGTTAGCCTGTGTAAGCTGCTGGGCCATATGGAATGACAGAAATGCGATTAGGGCACAAGCGCAAGTACCTGATGGCAATTGTAGAAGCGAATGGATTCGGGCGTATATGAAAGAATTTGAAGGTTGCTGGCAGGTGAAGCATGTGTCTGAAACAAATTTGCAGTTATCCAGTTTTCGAACTTTTGTCTCAGTTTGGGTTCCTCCCCCCGCTGAATGGGTTAAGCTCAATGTTGATGCGGCGTGCAAATCTGAAATTTCTCGTACCGGTATCGGAGTGATTGGTCGAAATTGTGGGGGAAAGTTTTTGCAGCTCTGGCCAAAAATTTCGATGCGCAACTTGACCCTTTAGTAGCAGAACTTTCAGCCATTCGAGAAGGTCTTTATCTTGCTTCTCAATTGAATTTCAGTTTGGTACAGATAGAATCGGATTGCTTACAAGCAATTGAGCTAATTTCTGGAAACAGTGAATGTTGGCTGGAAACAGGAACTTTGGTTGACGATATTCGTCATGTTGCTTCTAATTTCTCTCAAGTTTGCTTTCTGCATGTGAGGAGGGAAGGAAATCGGGTGGCTCATCAGCTAGCGACGAAGGCTTTTGTAGGTGAGGTTGCCGGCGTTCGGTTTTCTAATTTTCCCATCTGGATTTTAAATGAATATGGAAGGGGCTCTTGTAATGTTCGGGCTTTAGCTGGTCCGTTTTGAGTTTCAATAAATTCTTTTCTCAAGAAAAAATAATAATAAAATTATGAAATTTCACGTACACTTACCGGCTAAATTAGATCAAAACCAAATTAAACTTCCAAAGTAATAATCCATCAATCTGAGAATATTCTTACCAGTAAAGACATATATCTTCCACGAATAAATACAAAATTTGAATCTCAAAAAAAATAAATAATAATTGAAGCACTATCGTAAGTTCGAATTTTCACATTATACTAAAAAAATTACAAAAGAATAAAGGCATGGTTGGTTTATATTTTATAAGAATATCTCTTAAAAAAATCTATTTTTGAAAATCATTGCACCATCTAAATCAAAATTTATATATTTAACATGTTAGCATTTTTTGAGCAGTATTCATTTTTTCAATTCGGGGGCTTTGGAGAGACGATGAATGTGTGGGAGACAATGCGGCAAAGGCGACCGGTGACAAGGATAGAAACAGTTGGCGGTGTCAAGAGAAGATTGGTCGGAGATGGGAGAAGAGAACGAGAGAGGAAGATATTAGGAAAATGGAGAGAACCCACACTAACGGTCAAAAGAGTTTAGGGACCATTTAGAATAATTTCTCAAACCTTAAAGATCAATAGTGTCTATTTTGAAACTTAGAGATCAAATAGATACCTACTCCAAACTTCAGGGACTAAAAATGTTCATTTCGAAACTTCAAGGACCAAATAGATATCTACTCTAAACTTCGGGGACAAAAAGTGTATTTTTCCCTCAAAATTAAATAGAAATATAATTTAAATACATAATTAAATTTTGGTTAAAAAAATACTTTTAGGACCTTTATGTACAGATTGGTTATAACTTCCTTAGTCAGTTATTTAATTTGCTTTATATCTCATGTATATATACAGATATTGTATTTTCATTTCAGGGGTAAAATGAGAATATTATCACATTCACACTCTATTATGGTATCAGAGCGTATATCTTCCGCAGAAGCTTCTCTCTCTAATTTTCCTTTTTCCGCCATGCCAACCACACCGTTTTCTTCTCCGGTTCGTCCAATTGATCCAATTGCTCCAGTTCTTGATGATTCTTCATCACCAAATTCTTCTTCGTCCGTGCCTGGTGTTGATTCAGTCCTCAGTCCATATTATCTTCACCATACGGATAACACAGGGCTTGTTCTTGTTACTCAACCGCTTACAGAGGAAAATTATTCCTCCTGGAGTCGGTCCATGCTCATTGCCCTCTCCGTCAAGAACAAGCTAGGGTTTATTGATGAATCTATTAGTCGACCGATTGGTGAACTGCTTCAGGCATGGATTCGCAATAATCATGTAGTTATTGCGTGGATTCTCAATTCTGTGTCGAAGGAAATCTCATCGAGCATTCTATTTTCGGAATCGGCTCGCGATATCTGGATCGATTTAAAGGAGTGCTTTGAGAAGAGTAACGGTCCTAGGATTTTTCAATTGAAGCGTGATCTTGCTCAATTGTCGCAAAATCAACAGTCCGTCAGTCTCTATTTCACTAAACTCAAAGCTATTTGGGATGAATTAAGTCAATATCGTCCTTTGTGCTCTTGTTCGTGTACGTGTGGTGGTGCCAAATCTGCTGCGGATTTTTTATAATATGAGTATCTGATGAGTTTTCTTATGGGATTGAATGAATCCTCTACTAATATTCGTGCTCAGTTACTTCTCATGGATTCGCCGCCTTCAATCAACAAAGCTTTTTCACTTGTTAATCAAGAGGAGCAACAACGATCTTTAGGTGTCTCCTCTTCTCCTTCTCCAGCTACCTCTCTTGCCCTAGCCGTTCAACATTCGGCCCATTCTAGCAAGACTATGGCAAAATCTTCGGCGACTACTTCGAAGGGAAAGAAGGAGAGACCATTCTGCACTCACTGTGGCCTCCTTGGTCACACCATTGACCGTTGCTACAAATTACACGGTTATCCTCCTGGATACCGTTCTCAGAATTCGCGGTCCTCGTCTCAGGCATTTGCTCACTCTGCTTCTTCGTAGACCACTGGCTCCAACGCATCGGTTTCTTCAGCTTCTTCTCCTACTATGCCGAATCCTGATGTTGTTGCTCAATGTCAACAGCTTCTCCAGCTTCTTCAGTCTCAAATGAATGTCTCGAAGGTTTCTACTTCTGATGCAGCTTCGAATCATATGACAGGTATTACTGCTTGTTCTTTAAATGCTGCTAATTTGTGGATTCTGGACTCTGGTGCTTCAGCGCATATTTGCTGTTCTCAGTCATTGTTTGAAACTGTTTCGCCTATTTCTCCAATCCATGTCAACTTGCCTGATAAGTCTCGGTTTGTTGTGCACTTAAGTGGTACTGTTCGGATATCAGAAGACTTATCTCTACACAATGTCTTCTTTATTCCTCAGTTCCAACTCAAACTAATATCAGTCAGCTCTTTGACACGAGATTTTCCTAATCTGAAAGTTGAGTTTGCTAATGATTCGTGTGTTCTTCAGGACAAGTGCACTTTGAAGATAATTGGCAAGGTTAGTCTGCGGAATGGCCTCTATATTCTTGGCGGTTCTTCTATTGATACATCTGGACTTACTGTTTGTCATTCCTCTCTTAGTATGCGTAAATTTCCATTTGAAACTTGGCACAATAGGTTTGGTCATCCTTCTTTTAAGCTGATGAATGTTTTAAGTCATGTTTTGCCCATTGTTGATTCTGTTTGTAAGGACCATTTTTGCTTCATTTGTCCTTTAGCCAAGCAAAAGAAATTATCTTTTGTTTCAAGAAATAATGTCTGCTCATGTTTTTGACATAATACATGCTGATATCTGGGGGCCCTTTGCTCATTTTACTCACCATGGGTATCGATACTTTCTTACTATTGTTGATACTGTAGTAGATTCACTTGGGTTTTTTTGTTACGCAACAAGTCTGATGTTCTGTTTGTGGTGCCACAATTTTTTGCCTATATTGAAACCCAGTTTCACACCTGTATTAAAGTTTTCAGATCTGATCATGCCTCTGAGCTTGCTTTTAAGGATTTTTTCCTTTCTAAGGGTGTTGTTCACCAATTTTCTTGCGTGGGGCGTCCTGAGCAGAATTCTGTGGTTGAGCGTAAGCATCAACATATCCTGAATGTTGCTAGCCCACTATATTTTCAGTCTAAAGTTCCTATCACTTTCTGGGGTGAATGTGTTCTAACTGCAGTGTTTTTAATCAACCGCACTCCCTCACCAACTCTTCATTGGAAGACCCCTTTCCATTCTTTATATGGCCGTGATCCTGATTATCAGTCTCTTTGGGTGTTTGGATCGCTTTGCTATGCTTCTACGCTGTCTCATAATCGAACTAAGTTTGATCCAAGGGCTACACTTGTTGCTGGGATGAAGGGATACACTCTGTATGACATTCAACAGAGAAAATTTTTTGTTTCTCATGATGTTATATTTCATGAGAACATGTTTCCTTTTAGTGAACAGTTTGTTGTATCTGATGTTGATCCTCTTCCCAACATTGTCTTTCCAAATTCTTTTGAGTTTGTTGCTTCAGATACCTCTATAGCTGCTGATAATTCGGGTTCTTTAGTTAATTCAGACAATGTTGCTACTGACAGTACTTCTGATGGTTCTGTTCGGCCATCTCTCTCTCCAATTGCAAGTTCTCATGGGAATGTTGCTCTTTCTGAGGTTGTTGGTAATGTTTGTCCAACTGCCACTGATATTGTTGATTCTGCTATTGTTGGCTCTCCGGTTGCTGTTGAGGCTCAGCTACTTCGACGTTCTAATCGTCTATCTCGACCTCCTTCATACCTCAGAGAATATCATTGTGCTCTCTTGAATGGTGATTGTTTTCCTACTGTCACTACTAAACATCCTTTGCACAATTATGTATCTTACTCTCGGTTGGCTCCGTCTCATTCTCATTTGGCCTTAGCTGTTTCTGTGCACGATGAACCACAATTTTATCACCAGGCTGTTTCTCATTCTCATTGGAGGACTACCATGACTGCTGAGATTGAAGCAATGGAGACTAATAGAACTTGGACTGTGGTTCCTTTACCTTCCACCCATCATTCCATTGGTTGTAAGTGGGTATACAAGGTCAAATTACATTCGGATGGATCTATTGAGCGTTATAAAGCTCGGTTGGTTGCCAAGGGTTATACCCAACTTGAAGGTCTTGACTACCTTGAAACGTTTTCTCCAGTGGCAAAAATGGTGACCGTCCGTGTTTTACTCACCATTGCAGTCTCCAAACAATGGTCTCTCATTCAATTGGATTTCAACAACGCCTTCCTCCATGGCGATCTCTTTGAGGAAGTCTACATGGACCTGCCACTTGGTTATAAGCCTACAGGTGTGGTTTCTCGTAAGGGGGAGCGTTTGGTTTGTCGTCTCCAAAAGTCCATCTATGGACTCAAGCAGGTCTCGCGACAGTGGTTTACAAAGTTTTTTATGCTCTTTTATCACTTGGTTTTGTTCAATCTCGGGCTGATTCTTCATTGTTCATACGAGGTTCTGGTGCTTCTTTTATGGCCTTATTAGTCTACATAGATGATTTATTGTGACTGGGGCTTCTCTGACTCTGGTTAATGAGTTTAAAGTTGTTCTTCATGATCGTTTTAAACTCAAAGATCTTGGTTCTCTTAATTTTTTCTTGGGTCTTGAATTGGCTCACTCTTCTAAGGGAATTTCTGTCTCACAGCGTCATTACACTCTTTCTCTTTTGGAGGAGGCTGGTTTACTTGGCTGCAAACCAGTTACTTGCCCGATGGATCCTAATCTTCGCCTAGAGGCTGCTGTTGATGCTGATGTTCTTCCAGATCAGTCTTTGTACCGCCGTTTGATTGGAAAGCTCATTTATTTGACTATTTCCCGCCTGACATAGCCTTTGCTGTCAATCGCTTAAGCCAGTTTGTTTCCAAGCCTGGTAAGATGAATCTTTCTGCAGTTTATCACTTGTTACGTTATTTGAAGCAATCTCCTGGTCGTGGT